TGATGATGATGATGATGATGATGATGATGATGATGATGATGATGATGATGATGATGATGATGATGATGATGATGATGCGATGAGGCATAGGAGGATGTAGAATGGATAGGGATTGAAGGATGATAAAGGATGATGGATGATAAAGGATGATGGATGATAAGTAGGGTAGGATAATGTATCACAACCACATATCATAGCGATGGCATGTAGGTCATCGAGGTTATAGTTAGGAGATGTGTAGGGACGATAAGATGATGATCTAATGCATAATATATGTAGCGATGAACCATTTTAGATGATGCATATGGATTGTGGAAGGATGAAAGAATGGTATTCAGTGGCGTGATCGCTCGTTTCCATTGATTCATTCCCGATACATGATATTGTTATAAATCTCAAGTTATGAATATCCTATATTTGCTCAAAAAGCAATAATTATACTGTCGTGACTTCAGACCTTAGATGCAAAAATGATACAAGCGAGTTTATTTAAAAAAGAATGTTACAGTGCATTTCGTTAGATCTTTTGAATTCCCTAATGAAAGGGCTCCAGTCTGACACGCCGTAGATAGCACAGATACATTTCTTGATGCTTCTTTATATACTGTTTGGAAGAGCAAAACAGATTCTACAAACTTCAGTATTGTGAAGGGGTTCACTTGGTATGTGTAGTTTACCTATTAAAACACGCTAAAGAGAACGTTGTTAAAGTGAAATGGCGTAAATCTGACATCTTCGGAGGTCGTTATTCAAAAAACTGCTTAAAAGAGTCCAGTGGATTAGGGTGGATTATGAAACTATGGGTATAGTGGGCGCATAACGACAATAATTGCCATAGAAGAATGTGACCTTTAAACAAAGCGAAGTTTTGTGTAAAGAGCCAATCAAATTTCAAGGAATATTCGAAATTGATTTCCATGACCACGCCAGATTTGGTAATAGACCTGACTGGCCGAGTTCTTTGATACTAAGACGTCATCTTTGCCAAATTTGCTAACGCAAGGTCCAGAGCTATTGCTTTCCAATACATACCGTGGTTTCCACTATACGACAACAAACTAACGACAAAGATCTGCCCCCCTGAAAGAGTTATTTGTTACCGTCATCTGTTTGTTCGCTTCACAAACACTCCTTTAGATCGCCCCTCACGAGTATACTCTATCATGTTTACAAGACGTCGAAAGAGTAGCTCAGATACTTCCCTTATGTCGCCAAAACGTATACGTGTTAATGAGGCAAGCGAAGATGGAACATATCCTTCCTGTTTACCTTCTATTCCCTCCACATTCACACCGCTTCCTCTAACTCCGGGACCACAAGACGACAATCTTACGGATCCCGAGTATTTATCATCATACCATGCTGACAACACGTTTACAAAATCCGATAACATCGCACCCATGAACCGATCCCATGGGACTGATATCCCTACCAATAGCACCGATAATAGCAGTAACGAATATTCGTCAATAGAGGACACTATAGTTCCGAGAGCTTTGCTGCTTCAAACCGACTCTGATGGTGAGCTGGAAGATGGAGCAGAGAACGGGGGGGGGTTTGTTGATGATGACGAAGAAGACGAATATGAAGATGACGAAGAAGTCAGGGAAGACAATAATTGTCCTAATAACACTAGTGATGAGGCTTCTCTAGAGGACATGATCGGTTATGTGAGCGAATTGCATAACGATCAAGATACGCAAACGGATGAAGATGGTTATGAAGATGATTATGAAGACGATTATGAAGATGAAGTCGAGGACGATGAAGATGATGAGGATCGGCGTACGTAAAACATTATTTATCGAAGGATTTAAAAACTATAATTTACTGACTATAATTTTTATCTTTGATGAATTATCCAAAGTTACGCCGCCATTGACCGAAGAGGAATATGTATTGTTGCGCCGGGCTGCCCAGCAAAAAGGTATTTGCTCGATTAATTTTCTACTGAAATTGTGTACCGAAACGGCATTCTTACCTCTCGTTTTTTGTGCCTTATAAATGTATGTCCCTACGAACATAAGGAACCGCAAACTTTATCAAAGAATATTTGTTTGAGAAGGCGATGCCCGTTACGCATCTCTTCTATGCCTTTGACGCTCAGCCAGTAAGAATTTGTTTTTATTTGTTAGGTTTTGGGGTGTCTTGTTATCATATTATTTACTTTGCTATTTTATTTAATAGCCTCAAAAGCTTGTCGATACATCCGACATCCAATTAATTTCTATTTTACACAGAGCAGTATCAAAATTTCTTCGACATCGAAAGAAATTGGAACACATCAACACTTTAGAGGATGTCGTAAGATTATTGAAGGAATCCAAGAACATAATGGTTCTCACTGGCGCAGGTGTAAGTGAATCCTAGTTAAAAAACAAAAAAGAGGGATGGTAGATGTGTTGATTGAATTCAACTTTGTAGGTGTCGGTGTCATGTGGAATTCCTGATTTCCGATCCGAGAATGGTATATATTCAAGATTATCCGAATTCGACCTAGACGAACCTCAAGACATGTTTGACATTAATTATTTCAAAGAGCGACCCAAAGTGTTTTATTCGTTTGCAAAGGTAACAGATGGTTGTTTGATTAACAAATATTCTGCATGCTAGTTTTGGCTGTTGATGTAACAAATAGCATGACTAATATTTCGGCTGAAATATCAAATACAGAAAATTTATCCTAGTAATTTCAAACCTTCTCCTTCGCATTATTTTATAAAATTGCTGGAGGACAAGGAAAAGCTTTTGCGTAATTATACTCAGAACATTGACACTTTGGAACAATCAGCAAACATTAACAACATTCTGCAATGTCACGGTGACTACATTAACGTATTTGGTTTTTCTCGTTTCAATAAGTGTCATATTAATTGGATTTATTTTTGGTTTTTTTTTTTAGGATCATTTGCTCGTGCCACGTGTGTTAAATGTGGATACAAAGTTGATGGTCATATGATTAAGGACGATATCCTTCATTCGCGTGTTCCATATTGTCCTCGATGTCCACAAAATTTGTCTCCTAATCACAGTCCAGCCTTAATGAAACCGGACATTGTATTCTTTGGTGAGAAGCTTCCAGACGAATTCGATCATTTCTTTCCATTGGATCGGGAGAAAGTTGATTTGCTTATTGTAATGGGGAGTAGTCTGAGAGTTGCTCCTGTCAGTGAAATTATGGGACAGATTCCTCACGATGTGCCCCAGATTGTAATTAACAAGACCCCGATAAGGCATATGGAATTTGATGTACAGTTGTTGGGCGATTGTGATACAATTGTAGCCGAATTATGTAGGTTGTGTGGATGGGAGTTGAAACATGAGAAGTTGCCTAATGGATCTAGTAATGGTTGTGCTGCTGCCAAGTCTAAATTTTTAAACCCCTGTTGGTATCTATTTGAAGGTGCACAAGTGTTGCCTAATGATTTATCTGAAGAGGCATGTAGATACGCGTAAACAAGTTGATGGTAAAGGCGAGAGATGAATACGATCAGTTCATAGATTATTTGATCATAGGATATACACATATACACATAGACGCATTATTTAGCCTTTTATTGTAGATTTTTTTTTTGTTTCTATTTTCTTTTCCTCTATACTATTCAACGTGTAACTCCATTACTTGGATTATTCTGTCTAGTCTTTCGCTACTCTTCATTTGCTAATCATAAATACGTTCATCTCTACATACTGTAGTATTTATATTTGTGTAGCTACATAATACACTGGATGCATTAAATCTCTTCATGTAAAGCTTCTGTATTGACACAGTCGAGAACATCTGATTGTTGTTGTATGATACTAAACATCGCAGCTTAACTAATTAAACTTAATCATTGATTCATAAATATTGTTGGGAATAGGAATTATTCTATATGTTATTGATGTTTCTCACAATAGATTGTATTTTCTTTATGTTAGACATCTGTCATGGAAACCATGTTTGACAGGATGTTCTCATATAAACTTGATTATGACTAAAAGCCAGTCCTGTTGTGGACTCATTATATTAACAATACTAGTATTATTCATAAGTTCTGCACAAAACTGAAACTAAGCTATAGTTCACCGAATCTATCACTTTCATCAGATGCGCTTTCAGATTGCGATTCACTTGGCGTCGTAGTCCTTGACGACGACCGAGATAATTTCTTGGTCCCCGAGTGTGTCATTGCGTCGTTGGGTGATCTGTTGTGCGATATTGATGATGAATCTTGATTAGGGACTTCTAAATTCGTCTGTGATTTGTTAGTACTATAAAGTGGTAATATATTAAAAAATGGAGAAATCGCATACACAATATTTACATATTAGAAATGATATTCTGAATACTACTGGCAAATACCCCAATATCACAGTTATTAGCTACGATAACAATTTTCTTACAACTGAGATACTTACGACCCAATAGGTCGTCCTCTCTTCCTCTTCCTCGGTGCATTCCCTGTACCTGATTCATCGCAGACCTCACAATACCAACGGCCCTTTGGTACTCCAGTTAATCCAAGACAACTCAGATGGAACCACTCGTATGGACAGTTCTCTCCATCGCATGCTATCATCTCGCCAAAGCTTACTCTATTGCAGTAACAATACTTGGGTTCGTTCGGATCGACCTGACCATCGGGCTGAACTATACCATTTTTAGATGCAGCGTCATCTGATATTAGATTCTCTTCTATCATCGGAGAACTTGTCCGCAGGTCAATACGACCAGGAGCAGGTGTCGTTGATGTAGGGGTAACTGAAGACGAATAACGTACCAACGGAATGCGAGGGTTGCGTCGGCGTGTCTCGAGAACAGTACGTCGTCTGCCACCACGATTTTGACGTAATTGATGCTGCGTTGTTGATGACTGAGGTGCCTGAAGAAGAGGAAGTGCTGAATGAATTCAAAGACAAAAAAAGCGTTATGTATAAAACAAAGATTAAATAAAACAATCAGACAGTTAACATCTTCAGCCCTCTCTCAAGGTCCGATCATACAAATCAAATAATGTTTTGAACAACATACCGAAATGACTTTCTTCTGTCTCGGTAGGCAGTTCTTGCAATGGATCAAACATACTAACTCCGAGATCAGTCTCAAGGTTCTCTTCCGGTGCAATTACTGGATCTTTTAAATGATATTGTGGAAATAGCACCTCAAAGTCCTCATCCATTCTATTAACATGTCTTTCTACCAGCCCAACCATCTTTTCAGCAATCATCACCTTCTCATCTTGCAATTGTTCTGCTCTTGAATAATCAGCCTTGATCTTTCTAACCAACTCTTCCTCATTTTCATCGGCAAAGAGTATTCGACGCTTCCTTGGTCTACGATATTCACTATCCGATGAATATTCATTTTCCGATGACGACGACGAAGACAATGAGTCCAGAGGTATACCATCGAGAAGAGCAAATAGGCGTCGTTCCCGAGCAGAAATGTTTCGAAGAAGTTCTTTGATTTCGTCTTCTTTCGACTTTAATTCGAATGAATGATGTTTGATTTCGGATGGAAGGTTATCAATTGACGCGAGGAATTCGATGAGATACTCATTTGCATCAATCGCCTCGGTCATCGTTTCTGCTGTAAAATAACGTTTGCTTGACCGAGTAGTCGGATATATTATTTGTAGGGTTGGCTTTCGTCAGGACAAGCTTACGCTTGGAAATCAACGATGACGTAATGCAAAATACGCAGGATTCTAGAAAGATCAGCTGATGATTATATACATATTAGGCCAGCAATGGAATTCTTCAATTCGCGGTTGGTCTGACTCTGGTTAATTGCTGACGATCGCCTCTCCTGGTCGATCTTAATTTCATGCCGACTTGAAGTAAATGAGCAGTACTAGTACGGGTCATGAAAAGCTTAAGAGTCCTTTCGTCCCTAACCATAATAATAATAGTTATAAACAGCGTGCTTCCTTGAGGTCGGATTACAAGCTATAGGAGAAACAATTTGTCGAAAGACTAGACAATAGCAATTATTACAGAGATCCGCTTAATAAATGCGTTACGTTCTCAACTTTCAAAACCTGAAATTATGGCCGCAACCTACAAATGTTATTTATATTCTGCGGAAATATTCCGCTTAGGCCTTAATATTAAATAGTGATCAGGTCCTTCTCATTGTCTATCTAATTGATGCATTAGAGAGCGGTGCCACTAAAGTCCATGATTATGCTGTGCTAATTTTGCTGCGTTAATTTTGCTGATACACACTTCACATCACAACTAATAGAACGAATGCAAAAGATCAAGAAATACTTTGGGACAAAGCTATATAAAAAACACCCGAGTGGTAGACATTGGTGAATCACAATTTTTCAGTGGGCATCCTAGCACGGTGCTGCTTGTCGCAACGTGTAATGTCCACGCGTGCCGCATTATTGGTTTACAAGCGCTTTCCTTTTTGCCTTAATAACGATTGTGCAATGCAAATTCACAAAGCTGTAAGCATTACTTACGGCAAAAGTACGGGTTCAGGTATAATTGGATTCTTTGAATTTGGTAAATCAATCGTTGACTGCCTGAGTAGCACGTCTAACTTGGGAAATTGATTAGAAAAATATGAGTTTGTCGTAATGTACAAATGAAAACCGTTACTTCCTTAAGGTTTTATATTCTTATAATGTCTACGGTAGCCCTTTCCGCTACATGATGCTTGACTTCATTACTGCTGATTTCTTCCTTGTTTGATGGAAGAATAATCATCTTTGCATATGTTCCTCCAGTCTGTGATTTGGTCAAATGGCCAGGATTCACGCATACAACTTCTTCAACAGTCTAAGGTGCATACAATTTATAAATACGTGAGCATTCTATCCAAACGCATCAAAAGCGCAAGATTTTATCGGGAATTATCTAATAGCGGATATACGTGGGTTGTTACTTACTTTTGCAAAGAACTTTAGTCGGGAAGGCAAAATTAATACGTCTGGCATTACTTGTAATTCAATCGCATAATGATATTCGAGATCCAGGTTCACTTCACCACGCGCGGGGGGAAATAGTGGATATAAACTATCGAATGAATGAAGTAAGTATCCGACATGTACCCCTGTCGTCATTCATGTTTCAAGAACTTTTTTGATTACAAACCTTCGTTGTTCTAGTACATGGTAAGCTAATCGGCCCATTCTATCTCTATCTGGCTTTGGATCTCTATATTTGGATGAAGATTACAAAGTTACAACTTACGTATAAGATTTCCCGAGTTTGGATTGATTCAAAAGCTTACCTTGGTGCCTCTTCTGCACTCAGATGAAATAACACATCTACCGTGCTTACGGCAAATATTACTTCATTTATTCGAAATTGACATGGATTGGGTAATCTTAAAACTTCCTATTCCATCAAATCAGTATATTAACTACTATAATTTTCATTACCGAATAGATTTACATTTGCCCATTTACTTGCGGTATCTTCAGCGTTCCTGATCCTTCCAAGGGTGGCTGTGGAAATGCCATATGACTGTGTATTATATCCTTTGCGCTTGGGACCATTATTACGTTAGTGCCTGGGCACGTGTGACAGAATGAGTCTAAAGGTGCTGATATGTGCATTACGAATATATCCTCGAGCGTCAAGTCGAGACTACCAGATTTTATCAGCGGATGATCCTGGTCTACAAATGGTCCTAGCTGAGAGTAATATTACAGGTGTATGGTAAGTGAGAGCATATTGTAGACGTAAGTGATAAGTTATTATGTCATATTCACCAGTATTAGCACGTCTGGTTTTTCGGTTTTCATTTTATTTATAAAGTCGAGAAAAGGCTGATACTGAAGATTTGTGTTCAAAGTGTATGGACCAGAGGCAATTACAATTGTCATAGGCTGTCCATTGAGTTTAGTAGGTCCGTAGTTGTATTCCATTAGTTCGGATGTGAGAGTTGTTGGCATAGGCAATAATGGATTCTAATGCAACACAAGATGTAATTAGAATAATGTTAAAATAGCGAGTCGGCGCATCAGAAATTCATTAGAATTATTTATGATAACAATTATGACCTCATATATATTAGTAACATTCAATGCTCGTCCGGTGCTGTTTATACCTTCAACTGCAACAACCTGATGGGACGCATGCCAATGTCGTTGAGTAATTATGTACTCTTGTATCAATTGCTGATGACTGTATATAAATAATCCTTACCCGACCAGGAAATAAGGCGAAAGAAGGGACCTCATCTAAATTTAAGCTCACTCTGCATCCAGCCCCTAGACTACGCGAAGTCTCTAATACTACAGATTGACTGTTGAGCTTTCCTTCCGTATCACAGCAAATACGTCCAATTGTTTTAATCGCTTCCTATCCATATCATACATAATGCGGGCATGAACTTAAATAAGATAGTCAACCCATATAGAAACTTTCATACACAACAAACTTGTTGGAACCTGGGTTGGCCTTAATGGATCAAATAACTCTTCAATCTCATAATGATCTTTTACAAGACCCGA